TAACAATGATTAAGAAAAAAATGCTCATGTCAATTTAATCTAACTTAACCAACAGAAAGACTTATTTACTGAAATTCATATTCCATTGAATGTAATAAAAAACTTATTCGCTTTATCGCCAAATATTTTACATTATTTGTTAAATTTACATTCAATTTGTTGAAATTAAATTTGCTAATTTAATTTATTTATTAAAATAAATTCATGCGCTAATTTGCTAATAAGGTTGCAATTCTTGTACTCCATATTAAATACTGCGATTAACAGCAATAATTAACATTTGAGTTTTTTTTTTAAAATAATATTGCACAAATGAGCAAGTTTTATTTTACTTTAAACGAAAACTTTAATAGGTCGAATCAACTTTTATTCAAATTTAGATATATAACACGATAGATTCTAAAATATCAAAAGGAGAAATGTTAAATTGGATGTTTCCAATAAAGTCATAAACAGTTGACAAATCAATTATTAACATACTAAAATAATCGATCGTCTGTTTATTATTGGTTATTTCCAATTTATGTATTTATTAAAAAATTTCAAGGCAATGGGAGAAATAAAAGTTACATTTTAAGTTCAGATAATATAATAATTTGAATTTAATTATGCATAAAAGGTAGGATCGAGAAACAAACCAAACTGTCGATAACCAGATTGTTGAATGAGTTCAATCCATTGCTGTGACCACAATTTTTGCTGATTATGACAGATATCATTATCATTAAAACCCATAATAAAGGGATTTGCTGATGCCATCTGTAAAATCAATTCCGAACATTTGAAATGTAATTAAAAACAAATTTAAATGTAGAAAATCAGTCAAAATTGTAAAAATTGAAAAATTTCATTATTTATAATTTGAAATAGGACTTTTTTCTTTCTATCTTTTCGTAGCGTTATAGAATGCAAAAGAAAATTAAATCTGAGTGTTTTGAATCTCCCAAAAATATTCGTACTTTTTTGTTAATTAGTTCAATACATTTCAAGTTTTATGATTACAAGTTAATGATTAGAAAAGATATCTAATATTATAAAATAAATATATCTGTAATGTATTAAAATGAAAAATAATTAATTTTTAAAAATCCTCAATTTTAAATCGTTAAAATGTTTTTTGATAAAAATTACTTGCTAAACAATCAATTACAATATTTGACTTTTTCACCCCATTCATCAAGGCAATATTTTACATTAATTAATGGAATAATTAATGGAATAGTTACCGTAATTTTATTGAATTTTCAAAATATTGTTTTTTTCAAGAAAGAGGAAAGAAAACATGATTTGTAGAAAAGAGGAAAAAAGACAGAATAATGATAGATATTGGATGACAGCTTTGCTTATTTGATATTATTAACGTAGAAAAGATGAGTATTATTAAGGTTGGCAATATTTATAAATCAAATAAACAATGCATAAATTTTATTGTTGTACATAAATATCGATATCTTATTCAGATATTACACTGTCTATCCATTTATGCAGGCAAATGTTGGTGTTATCAAAAAATAAACTTTGTTGATAAATAAGTGTTTATCAATAGAAATTATTAAACTAGTTAACAGCTTACTTTTAACTTTAGTTTCTGAATTTAGTAATACTAGAATATTATAAAAATAGTATGAATTGGAATTATGCAACTGTTTTTATAACAATCACAATAAAATTTATTTATTTAAAATTAATTTAATTCAATAATTAAAGATGAAAGAGTAGAAAGAACAAAGGCAAAGTAAAAATTACCTGAACGTGTGGAAGTAAAACATCAAAATAAGACAGCGTTTGCGGAATTGGCGCTGATAAGCATACAATTGGATGACAAGATGTTGGCGAAATTGAATTATTGTTACTATTATTATTATTGTTGTTGTCATTATTGTTATTATTGTTGTTATCATTACTTGTAAAATTTCGATAGTCAGATTTGTAATTCTGGTTAGCAATTATATTTGGTACAAGTAATTCTCGACTTGTTCCCGGTATACATTCAATTTGACTTCCATTTAATTCAGCCAAATTTTCATGGCATTCGGTTGATTTTGCATTCGAAAAGTGTTGATTAAAAGTGGAAGTTTTAAGTGGAACAGACGGCAGCTTATTGAGAGTAGCAGTAAATGCTGGTGAAATATCATCCTCATTGAGTGGTAGGATTTTCGGATGTGAAATAATATCAGCTTCAGATGTTTGACCTGAGTTAGATTTACCAGAACATATTTCTCGTTGTTGCTGCTGTTGTTGTTGGTAATAATGACGGTGATGATAATGATGATGATGGTGATGATAATGATGATTACTAATTAAATTTTCCACCGAAAAATTTAATGATGATGGCATAACAGCAATTAATTTTATAAGCATCGACCAAAAAATTTCTTCTAAATAAATAGATTATACAAATTTTTTTTCTTTTTTGTTCGTTTCTTCAAAATTACTGATTAAATAAAATATTCGTCGTTTTGTTTATTCCTCTCATAAATATTTCAATAATTGTCATTCATATTCATCATACAATACGGAACAATTCTTCTGCAAAAACATTTCAATAATTAGCATCGTTATTACTCATACAATAAAAAAAATAAATAAAACAGTATTGACCATTGCAAAACTTTTCATAATTCGAAATATTTTTGTCGGTGGATTGTTTGATTCGTTAAAATCCTTCCAACAAACAAAACAAAGCAGTTGATGATATTTACCATACCAATAAGATTGGATGTCTTTTAAAGGCGGAGCATTTTTCACACTTGACAAGATGAATAAATGGTTGTGCGGATTCGATCAATCTCTATCTATCTGTTATCTGAAGAATAGAGTTAGAGTTGGAACCAACTAGTTAACTGAAAAGTTCATAAGGCGAGCAAATTTCTCCGCCCACAAGCAAAAAATTAAAAGAAATGGAGAAGCAATCGTACATCACAATTACACACTATTCATTTCTTTCTCATAAACTTTTTCTATTGTCTATTTTTTATCATTATCGTTATCACTATCATTCTTGCTATGATTATTAATAAAAATTATTATTTTTGTTGTCTTAGTATGCCAAAAATATTTCAAGCCAAATGATTTTTAAATTCTTTAAGTTTTAAACGGTTGATAAATTAATTCGCTATTTTCGTGACAACATTCGGTATAGAATATTATCTTTGGCAACATTCAAAATTATTCAGTTTTTCCATTCATGTATATATTAGACCATTGTGAAATTGTAATAATTATTGTTACTATTATTATTATTGTTGTTGTCATTATGAATAAATTGAATAAATTTACCATTCTTTTATCGCTTGTACAACTGTTAAATTTTAGAAAATTAATAATAAGGAGATTAAAATCGCTATAAATCTATTAAAATGAATTAATTATCATTACTATGATAATCATCACTATCATTACCAGTATCATTATCATTGTATTTCAAAAAGCTCCCGTTATCTCCCCTTCATTCATTTCCATTTTCCTTCCTCCTTTCACTTCCCTTTTCCGTCTTCGACCTTTTCCCCGCCACCTTTCAACAAATAATTCATTCCGAAACGCTCCCTTCTAATTTACTGATTTTCATTATTTTTATTTGGTGAGAAAATATAGCAAATATGCTTTTGATAATATCTAAAAAAGAGAACCATTTGGGTTAATGGGTTTTACCCATTCTTTTGCTTTATGGCTTATTTACCCTTTCTCATTCTCCTTCCCCTTCCCCATCCCCCGCCCCGCCCCGTCCCGCTATTTCCCTACCCGTTTTCTTCCTTCTCTCCCCCGACCGCTATTCATTGTGCAATATTCCATAAAATAGGAATGCATAATCAATTTGATTAAGCGAGAGAGAAAGAAAATGTACCAATAATTGCAATTAAGAAATCGTATCTTTTTTTTGTATTATTCGGATGCTATTTACTGTATAGAGCCTTCATTCTTTATATTTTGATAAAATTATCATAAATGTATTATAGAAATTTAGTCTTTCGGTTCAAGTTTTATCACAAAAAAATCAGCGAATTAATTTAAATTGCAAATAAAATTAAATAAAGAAAATTTTTTGCTATTTAAACTAATAAATTGTTTGTAATTGTGATTCATTTGTTACAATTACTTTCATATTTTCAGATCTGATCAATAATAAATGGACTGAAAATAAGTAAATCAGATGTAAAGGGAGAGAAAATGTCAGATTTTGGCATAAGTACTTTGTTAGGTTATTAATTTTCAATTAAAATGAAAAATATGCAAATCGGATGTTATATTTTACTTTTTCATTTTATTTTTCAATTATTAAAAAATTTTATTAAGAAAAGAAATGAAATCCAAATGCAAGTTTCAATCAACTTTATTGAAAATTCAGAATAATTTAACCATTTCTAATAATAATAGCTTTAACACTTGTATTATTCGATGTTTTCCAAACACCTTTTACGTAACACTTCCGTAGCGGAAATAACCATTACGCAATGATAAGTAATCGAGATGTATAAGTTCTGATGTTACGACAGATCACTGTTAAAGGAGGAATGGGCTTATAAATCAATGTAGGAAAATAAAAAAGTTTAAAATGACTAACAAATGATAAAGAGGAAACCGGAACTGATCTTAAATTCAGCATTTATGTCCTCCGGCATGATTATACCATTAAATTTAGCACATTGAAGTTTTGCTCTGATTTTTATTCTAAAATAAGGAGCTTAAAATCTTAAGCAAAAGTTAAATACAAATTTTTTTCAAGCTATCAATAATATTGCTTAGTGGAACATCTGTCAATAGCTATTTTCAAACTATTAGTTGGATTAGGATGACAAATCTGTTTATATATATTTAGCATTCGATTCATTATCATTTAATACTCAGTTTTTTTTTTTACTTCACAAACAATTCTATAAGTTGCTTTTCCTTTTGTTATTAAAAAAGATTGGGTTGATAGATTAATTGCAAAAGTCAAGTAAATAACTTTTAAATAAAGAAATTTTGAAAAAATCGTTAATAATCTTACCTTCAAGTACGCCCAACGCATTCTGTTTTATTAATGATTCAAATTTTTAAAAAAATACAAATATATTAATTTATACATTTATTTGAAATATTCGTCTGTATTTCATTTCACTGTTCATTTATTCGTTATATAATTCTGGCAAAAAAAGATTTTACTGTCCATCTATTATACTTGTAGTTTAAAATTCTACCAAGAAACTCAAACAATTAAAAAAACTGAAAGCACGATTGATGTAATAAAAATACCATAAGAATTGTTAAAAACAAGACTATTCCTCTTACGGTAACTCTGTTACTGTAAGAATGGTCGAATGATAATTTAAGATTTAATATACATATTATCAAAAGAGCATTATTGAATTTTATTTGTTAATATTACTGCAGTATGCTATCTAACTTTACTTTTATCAAATCATAAGATATCAATTATTCCCGCCTTATGTGTTAAAATTTTAATACTATATGGGATCATTCGCCAAAAGTTATTCGCGAATCGTAGATTTATAGTTTACCGAACAACGTCATAAATAACATATACTGTCACATATGAACATTTATTCTTAAACGTGCGTGCACACATAAATATGCTAATTTTACAACCATAAACAAATCTGTGATTTATATACACGTACGTAATATAAATAAGTGCAAATCTAATAATTGGCGAAGAGAAAAAAGAAGAGAAATTACTAAAAAACGAATCTTTTGTTAAAGTGGAATATGCAATTGATTTGTCAATGAAATTCAATAGTGAATAACATATCATTTGTATGGCAAAAATAAAAAAAATTGGAAATAAAAGATGTTAACTTAAAAATCGAATAGATAAATGCTCATGGAAATAAATATTGCTTGCAATGATATGGAGAAAAAAATTAAAAAAAGTTATGATTTTTACAAACTTATCTGAGTAAAAAAATGAAATGCAAACACATGATTTTGAACAATCATTCCTATTAATCCTCGCATATTGACGATAACTTATTCCTTTTTTAGTAAAAATTTCACGAACAAAATATCAATTAGTGAGAGAAACACCTCTCATCTCAAATTACTAATTTTCATTCGTTTTTAAACAAAAAGTAATGTAAATTATTTAAAGTTCTATAAAGTAATGTCAATTTACTATAAAGTAATGTAAAAAATTATAAATCAGTTGAAGGAAAGTTACCATCAATTTATTCGACATTTTCAAAAATTTGAGATCATCCACGTCATCTCAACGGAAATTTTTCTTTAAATATAGAAATTGAAAAAAATTGTTGGAAATAATTAAAGTGCAAAAATACAATAAAGTCATGCATTTCTCGTTACATTTCATCGCAAAATATTATGAGGAGAGGAATTCATTCAACTATAAACCATCGTCGAAATGATACTAATCGACGGCAAATATTACAATTATCAAATATTATAATTAGCATTTTAATCATATATACAAATTATAAATGCATTAACGTTTCTTTGAAACTAATAGATAGAAATTTTTCAATTTAAATCTTTGATTTTCAAATTTAAGTAAAATTACGATAGTTTCCGGTAGCAAAATGTCCATCACTGTGTATTTGCCAAGTAAAATAATGGGTAAAATTATGATTTCTCAATAAATTTTTAGTAATTAGGCGGACTATATGGAATAACTAGCAGGATTATTGACAATGATTATAATTCAGAGTACAGATCTTTTTTTAAAGAAATTTTTAAATTGATAATCGACGTTTCTTGTCATGACATATGATATCTTGATATATTTGTGCTTTCATTATTTTCAACAGCCTGTAATACACTTTTTTAGAATTACAAAAAAGAGAAATTTTAAAATATAAAAAAGCTTCAATTCAAATATTTTGGAAAATTCTAATTACGGGCTGGCCAGAAGATAATTTTCATTTTGTTTTCATTGTTATTATTTCCGGAAAATTGTTGATGATAAATTTTATTACAGTTCAAATTTTACTGCATTTACCGATCTAAATTTCTTATAAATTCTTTTAACGATTTTTTTTTTAATCAGTTTGTCAAATTAAAATGCCATTTAATCAGAAGTCGAATATTGCCAATACAAATTGGGAGAGATACATATAAAAGAGGAAAGAAAAGTAATTATATTTTGAAATTTCGATTCAAACAATTTGAAATTTTACATTCTAAGGCTGAAAAAATTTTCAAATTCTAGATTTAAAACAATTATCAAGAACATGAATTAATTTTTTCACCTAACATTTAAATTATATTGTATTTTTCATATACATGCAATCACATATGTACTAATCAATAGGAGAACAGCGATTATTTATTAAACATTGTAATTAAGAATTATTTATACAATCATTCACGCATTAATTACCTGACAAACACTTTCTTAAACTGACCTATGTTTATTCGCTACACAATCGATAAACTATCAGTATTACTGAGTATTGATAGGAGAAAGAAATATAGCATTACCTAAATGAGAAAGAAAATTGGTATTAAGTATGGGCAAACATGCAATCATAGTTAAAATTTTTTAAATTTATGAAAAATCAAAATTGCGAAAGAAAACGGTTACTGCGTGCAGTTTTCATAATTTAACAGAAAAAAATTTTGCATAATAATTTCTTCCTTTGATTATCCGCATATCAGAAATTATGATTTTGATGGAAAATGAAAATTTATTTGAAAACACAAATTAGTTTTAGGGTTATGAAAATTGATTTGAAATGGAAAATTTTTATCGAAATTATTAATTTTTGACTTTAAATTATCATTTGTGAAACTGATTTAAACAAATATGCAAATTGCATTTTATATCAGAGAAAAAGTATTTAATATAATGATCAAAAATCATTTCAGTTTAGGTGCTAGAAATGCAAATTAAAGCCTTCTTCGACTCATTCCGATATATGAGTTACAGTTTGAAGGGTTTTTTTAGTGATTAGTTTAAAATATCACAACTGTTTTTTATTGGATGATGCTATTTTTATTTTTATTTTTTATGTTAAATTTCGTTTTTTTTCCCTTTTGAAGAAAATTAATTTTTTTGGTTAACTGACATTTCTGAGCAAATTATTAAACGAATGGGAAAGAATTGAAGTGTTTGTTAAAGTGAACGGTAGCATTTCTGATTATTTCTTGTCATTTTCATTATTCCCAACAGTTTTAATTTTATTGAATTTAAGAAAATCCATAAATAATGTCAAATACCGATCAATTAGTCGAACTTATCCCACTTATATTCATCCCAACGATACTATAGATCGTACTAAAAGAAACAGTTGGAAATTCTTAAACCTTTTTTTAAAAAAGACAAATATATTTCAAATTATTTTTGTAAAAGATGTTATTATCAAATTAGAGTGATGTTACATATTCGATCAATCTTGCACCAATAATTACCGGCAAACCAAAGTATCCGGAAGAGAAGGAATATACGGAAGGTTTATATTCTATTCTATCATTAATAGACTTTAGATAGCAATAGCAATTATAAGGAAATCAGGCCATGTATTGGTTTAATCATGCCTTATCATTATTATCATATTGCAATAAAAAATGAATGAAAGAATAAAACACCTAAATAAATAAATGAAGACAAAGAGGAGTGAACGACAATAATGATTACTTGAGTTCTTTGATATAATATTTCAACAATGTTCAACATTTTGCCTAATCGATTGCTTGTCGTGTGTCATATAAACTTGGAGCCTATAAAAAATAAATATGAATTAATTTGGTATGTATGTCATTCTGTAGTTAATTATTACTTATTAAAAAGATTTTGCAAAAAAACTTGATGCAGAAAAAAGAGTTAATTAAATAAATCAAATAATTTCAATTTTTTTAAAGCAATATACATTAACGAAAAAAGAAAAAATAATTGATAATATGCAAATCTTTCCTGTAAATATGTATGCATGAAATTTTTTATGCAAAATTTGTTGTACAATTATAGTTCCAATTAAAAGAAAAATTGTCTATTGAACGATATGCTGTTACAATGAAATTTTAAAGTAGTAAAGCTAATTAATACCTGAAAAAGAATTAGAACAGTACCCAGGAAACAGGTAACTGAAAAAAGCAAAAGGAATAATCTATCAAGTACCATAGCAACAAATTTCCAATCTTCATCAATCTGAAAGAAATTTTTGTTAATCATTAAATTTTGCATTTCGATTAAATTAAATTCAAATTCAAGCAAATTCGAATTATTTTCAACCATTGCTAAGAGAATTCAGATAAAGATTCATTCATTGGATCACAAAGAAAAAAGAAATAAATATCTCACTTATTTTGATTAATTAATTTATAACGATATCATTGGTAGTACTTTTCAAGATAAAATATATTGATAAGCATATATAACAATAAATACAGTATATAAAATGAAAAATATATATTTAAAATTTATACAATTAAAAAATTACATATCTATCAAAAATATAGTCAATTCTGAACTAATGACAACTTTCTTAACACATTCTAAATTAATCACATTGATTAGCCAAAGTTCATATCATCACAATATTAATCTTTCAAATTTAATTCAATCATAATTCACTAAAATATTTTATTCCTACCAAGGATATATCCAATAACAAACGGCAAATAGCCCTATTTATTCCACCGAACAAATTATAATCATGCAAATTATTAAATTTAAATATTTAAGTCTTCAATTATACAAATAGAAATCATTTCTGAAAATTCGTCACCATACGCATCAGAATAGCACTCACCATCGCATCGCGGTCTTTCTTCTTTAACAATTCCGCGATGAAACAAACATTCTCGAATGCCTTAATGACATGCGGTAAACGGTAAAGCTTTTGAATTTGCTCATTAATGTATGTCTTTGCATTGGCACATCCATCACAGTTTATTTTCTCGTCAAAGCGATTAATAATCACATTTTCATCTGAAATCGAACGAAATTCGATTAAATTCTCATTTTTACTTCGTTTATCGTACAACCATTAATTAAATTCAATGAATATAGACAAACTTTAAATAGTTAATTGTACTTGCAGGGATTTTTCGCAAACTTATTAAAATTTTTAACGAAATAATTTATAGATATTTGATTCATATTGTAGCGAAAAAAAAAATATTTTGAACGTTTACATGATTTTGCTCGTCGATGATTAGCTTTATAGAATGCTTCATCAGTTTCAATCATTATTGGTCGTCGCATGAATAATATTTTGGGCAATATCCTCAAAAATAGCCATTTGATCCAATCAGGCATTTGATGGGTTGTTGGCCTTCGAAAATGTAAATTCAATGCTGCCAATATTAAAATATTAGTAGCTTCTTGTTTGTTTGTTTGCTTTCAACTTTTTTTTTTCAAAAAATGAAATAAGTAAATCAATGTTTTCTTCTGTTTGCAAACTATTGACAATTTTAAAGTTTCACATTTAGTTTTAAAAAACAATGCTGAAATTACGAGAATAATTCCGAAATCTTTTTCAAAAAAACAGAAAACATGAAGAAAAAATTAAAATTTTGGTGAAAAAAGTATAAAACTAACAAATGACAGTAACGAGCACACTGAGTGAGACCATAATCATTGTAAATAAGAGATATTTGCCGATTAAGGGCAAAGCGATGCTTGTCGCCGGAATAATATCTTTCTGTTAATGAATTATCGGTTAATTAATGATCGATTGGAGAAAAATATCATTTTTAAGTATATGAATAAGAATAATTTATTCACAGCGAATTTCTTCAATTATTATTTAAGTTGTTTTATGATAAGATTATAAGAATAATAAATTAAATTACATTACAATTGTAGACGGCTAATATCTTTCTTTTTCCTATTTATCTCTTTCTCTCTTTTCTTCGTTGGCTAATTTTTTTTTCGTATTTTGTCTATAGCATGATCTATCTAAATTTCAGTTCGGAAAAACAGTAAAGTTTGAATAATTTTTGAGTAAAGTGTGTTATGCATTTCGTTCATGCAAGCTTTATATATATACGAACTTTTTAAACATTTCAAGGATGGGATTAAATATCAAATGTTAATTTATTGCTAAATGAAAAAATTAACATCAATGACATTTGAACCTTAGAAAACAAGTAAAATATATTAATTTAACTCCTACAGATGTTTTTTCTTTTGTTTTTCAAAAAAAAAAAAAAAACAAACCAATAAAAGGTAGAAAACAGTTAATGCGACCAATGTTAGAATGCAAAATGTGACCTTTTCACCGCTCCGTGATGGCAAATAAAATGCGACAATTGTTAGAAATGATATACCAACACATGGAAATACCAAATTTACCGTATAAAATAACGGTTTACGACGTAATTCTAAGTAAAACTGAAATTGACAGAAGGCAGACTGAATTAGCATTGTAGATTATGGGCTAATCTGTGTGAAGGTATGTATATGATCCTATCTGTATTAACATTATAAATTACAACCAATCTATTGACATCACATAACGAAACTTGAGGATAGAATGCTATAAAAAAAGAAATGAATAATGTTGTACTTAAAATCATTCAATTGATACTGTAAATGATTACCATAATATCAACGTATGTTCCATCTGAGCAACAAGTCAGATAATTTTTCGTATGTCGCTTTGCAACCCTTGACATTATATCCCATTCCACTGATGGGTAGTAATCAGAAAGATCTGTAACGAATTATTCATTCTATGAAATAATCATGTCATCACAATTAGTTTAAAATTTATCACAAACAATAACAAATATCTATAATAAAGCAATCATAATCATTATCAAAATAGTAATCACGGTAAAAATTAAAAAGCAATTTTTTAAAATAAAATATTACCAATTCCTTCTTCCACAATTGTAACATTATCCAATTCACCATTCTCATTCATTTCCAATTCATAGCGTGCTTTGCCATCCAAAAGTTCCAAATTTAGCAAATTCTCAGTGTATGTCCAAGAACCAAACTTAAAGTATTGTAAAATATCCATCTATCCTTCACTTTCTTTTCTTTCCACTTTTTATAAAATGATTTTATGAAATTTACAAACAAAATTGAAAAGGAAGGAAAATAGAAAGCAAAAGTTTTACCTTAAAATGACACTTTTGTTCATCAAATGGAAACCTATAATGTGGAACATAATTAAGACGTATAAATTAAGAATTATTATTTTTTGTCTAATAAATTTTAATCGGTAATTCCATAACTGAGAAATCCCTTTTTGTCTATAAAATTTAAATTGAATCCATATAAATTTATATTATTTATTAATCTTTGTATTTATATTATTTATTAAACACGTTTCTGTCATTTGCTAAAAAATATCAAACTCTTTAATTATACATTTGATCAATTTTCGGATATAATTGGAAGTATACCATAATTAAAAAAAAGAACTAACCATCGAACATCAATTTGGCATAATGTTTTAAAAATAGCCGGTGGTTCCCAGGTTACTTGACCATCATAGTGTAAAGTTGCCTTTGTGCTAATTGTTATATTATAGTTACTGTCAGCACTAAAATATATTTAATTATTCATTTGATTTAAATATTCATAGTAACCTACCAAAAATAATCGATTGATTTACAAAGTAATTGATATTTATGGTAAGAAATCAATACATTATATTACTTCCAATTCTTCTAAGTTTTCCGTAGGGTCGGAATATCGAAAAAAGTTTTTTTTTTCCATTGCTATCAAATAGGCTTTTTCGAGCAATCAGATATAGAATTCCCTTACATATAATATTTTAATTTTGAATTTTTAATCGCTCAAGTAAAAATAACCAATCTTGCACTCTCATGTTGCTAAGTTGAATTTACATTCGACATTATTCATCGTTTAGAGAAATTTGGAATTTTTTGTCAAAATTAAAAATAAACATTGAATTTTTCAAATTAACTATTGAAGGGTGTTAGTTGAATCAGTTTGTCATGTACAATTATCATTGTTATAAAACTTTTGTTAATTGTTTGATTAAGGTAAATGAATTACTTATTATATAAGACAATATCAGGTACCCAAATCATTTCATATGGCACATAAAGTACGCTAACTCCACCGTAAATGTGTGGATTCCATGATAATTTTTTATCGATCCACACTTGTTTTAACCAAATACTGCACGTCATGATTTGATCAATTTCATGCTGCAGAATGCACTAAATTTGAATTGGAAAATAAAATCTGAACAGTGCTAAAATTAAAAAATCTTGAAATGTTTTGTCAAAACTGAAATTTTATAAATAAATTTTCTTGAAAAGCGCTATCTAAAATACTGTCATTTGATCATTAATATATTATCATTCTCTCAAATAAAATTGCAACAAATTCCTACTATTCTTAAAATTTTTACCAATTATAACCTTTTTTTTCCTTACAAAACAGTAAATTCAAGTATCGAACATAATTTTCAATTAATTATTACTGAAATTATTAGCCTAATAGCCTAATTGATTTTTATTTATCCTCTAATTGACACAATTTTAAACATTTACAATAATACCGTACAACGTCAATAATTTGTGAAAGCCGTAATTTAAGCTTAATGGTAATCGGTTTATTTGGTTCCGGTGCTGGTCGCCGATGTTTATTATAATTTACCATCAGATCATCATATAATCGTTTTGCATCTTCATTGCCGTATAACATCGGTATAAATGGCATTAAGAACGGTAACATCAGTTGGATCATACTTAACTTAGCTACACTAAACTGTAATCATTTTCTGGATAAATCTGAAAATTTCAAAAAATAAGATGAAGATAAAGTGATAAGTATAAATATACTTATATAGTATATTTATATAATAAGTACATAAATATACTGTGAATATACTGTGAAAGTAGACCGATTATTTAATATGTATAATTGATAGAAAGAGTATGTATGTTTTAAGTAAAATTTATATGAACTATATTTACTGAATCATTATTTGAATGTTGAAAATTTCACATGAAATTTGATTTATATATAATTTGCTCTAATCAATTCCAATTTTACACATATTAGATAATTATTTGATACATACGGATGGATTCTCGAATTTATGAATTAAAAAATTATTGAAATGAAACTGAAAATGAAATATTAAAAATAATCTTCGCTACATGTGTATGAATTAATGTAATACATGTGGATTAATTTGTTGAATGAATGAATTAAAAAATTGTTAGTGATTGAAATGAAATGAGAAAGAAAAGACAGAAGAGAGGAAAGGGGATGTTTGTTATATGGATTGAAATTGAAAAGATCACATTGCTGATTGATGGCGTATCAAACAAACAGCGTCAGTAGAAGAAGCGCATAAAGCGTTAGCAGCCATCATTTATCAAATATTCTAAACCGATGGATGATAGATGGATAACACGCCTTTCTTCTCTCTCTTCTATTTCTCAGTTTTTCTTTATTTCGTTGAACAGTGAAAAGAAGTAACAAAAAAATGAAGACTAAAAAATAAAAGGAATAATATATGAATTGAGTGGAAGAAGCTCGCCAGATAAGTGAAATGATGTAAATGAGTAATTTCTTTTTTTACAAATTCAATCTTCAATTTATCTAAATTTACAATCCTACGATAAATTAAAATTTTATTACATGTAAGCCTGTCACGCAAGTATTGATCCGAAATTTCTTTACATATTTTTGCAAGTCTATTACACTTGTTCAATTCAGCTCCAAATGAATTTCCTCATCGCATTTGACTTTCCATAATTATTAGTTAAATCGATAGTTCCAATCATTTCTTAAATCATTTTGAACTTCATCTAAAGGCCACAACTTAAAATTTCCCATTCCGCTCCTCCCCTGCACCCCCGAGCCCTGTCAAATCCGCACTCGGCGATGACTTTTAATCTTTAACAAAATATGCAAATCAATTTCAAAACATTTTAAAGAGGCTTAAATTCCATTCAGGAAGTATATACAAGAGATTAGTTTTCCAGTTCCAGTTCGTCATGAATGAGAACATTAGAGTGATGCCCTGATATCAATTTATGCTTCAAGTAACTAATGTTAAATCTTATTCATTAGTTAATTCAGACAAAAATATAATCCGAGTAATTAAAAGAATACAATCTTAAGAAACTATACATAAAAAACTGCAGCAACAACTTTTAAAAAATATCTGATGAAAAAATCATTTCATGAAGTGCTAAAAAAATTGAAATAAGTAAAAATGTAAAATTTTAAATAATGCCATTACTGGACAATTCATAACTTCTACAATAAAACATTGACAAACACATTGAATAAAAGCAGCACGAATGGCGACGTTTGTTTCAGTCAGGAACCTAAAACATGGAACGATGATGTTTCGGATAGTATACAAATATTCTTGTTTAATAAGCTTATTAGAAAAATTGCAAACTGGCAGCACAGATTGGAACTATTCGTTTCTCCTAGTTTTTCGGATTTTAGAACTTCCACTTTACAAGCGTTTATGACTTTTCTCGTCTTGAAATTCATTCAG